TGCCTATCAGGTGGAAGAGTTTCTTGTCAACCAGTAACTAAATCCTTCAAAGGTTGTAAACTAGTTATGCTTTTGAAACTTTGATGTCAGATACAGTACTAGATAGAAAACAGTTATTAAATACATAACTAGTTCAGAAGGCCAGATAATGTATTACACAGTATGCTTATATTGAATACTGAAGAAAAACCTCTTCCAAGGCACTCCTGAAAAAGATTAGCATCCTAGTCACTGAACCAGAAGTTCCTTATATTGGTGGTCTAAGTGTTTTGGTCCTATGATATTACTCTTACTTCTAGAAGCTAAATCCCATTACAAAGGCAATAAATCTGGTTAGTTCTTTCCCAATAAGTTTGGTGGTTTTTTTTTTGTTTGTTTGTTTTTTTAAACGTAGGCAATCTTTGTTGTTGTTAAGATATTAATGCCATTACAAGTGGGCAAGAATAAAGCTGAAGACAGTTCACTTTACTTATGGTCACTAAAACAGCATTCCTGTATGCTGCATGAGACAGCATTACAAATCTAACACCACCTCCACAGGTGTGACTTAAGAAACCAGAAAGCTGGAGTCCAAGTTGAAAATGAGCCAGTTTTCCTCCCACCACAAAGAAAAAAGCTCACTACATCATTTTATTTCATGTTAAAACTCAAGACAAATGACCTACTCTATTAAACTTTTGGGCTTGTTACAGCACATACAGAAGTTGTTCCACTGAAGCACATACTACCTAAATAGCTCTTCAGGAAACCACCAGCCATAAATCTGGGACAATATAACACAAAGCTGCTGGGAGCAAGTGTCATTAGTATAAAGGCTGCTTTAGAGAGGAGAATCATGTCCCTGGTAAGTTTCCTTGCTCTATCCTGCATTGCATGTTCATGTTTTAAGGGTCAAGGGTCCCAAAAGTCATCCTTATCAGGGTCAAGGGTCCCAAAAGTCATCCTTATCAAGGATATTTTACAGACAAAATAGATAGACACAATAAGACAAAATGTCACAACGTTTATCTTCTCCAAAAGAGACAAGGAAGGATAAACAAAGAACATGTAGTCCCAGCAAATATGATTTTCATTTGAGCCCATTAGCTCCTGTATTTCCCAAATTCTAGAGTAAGGGTTGTACAGATAGCATGAGGAGCATGCTGAACCACAAAAAGTATTCATCATGAGCTAAAACTGACCCTGTTGACTGATGGATCATCTCCAATGAGATGAACTCTATGTCCCCAGAGCAGCATTTGGTACCTTGGACTGGTTCCTTTACACTTCTAATTCTCTATTTTCTAATGAGAACTTTTGACATCTTCAGCCCAGTGCACCAAAAAAAAAAAAAAAAAAAAAGATTACATTGGAGCTGTCTTTGAAGATACACAAGTTTGCTTCCACCCCCCTTTATTTTCTTTCTTCTGGTACAAAAGATTGCTACTTAGAGTCAACTTTCCCCTAGCCCAAAATCAGCTGGTGTAGGAGCTCCCCCTAAAAGCAAGCCAAGCCTTGCTAGTTGCCTTTCCATCACAATGAGCTCTTCCTAGGACTTTCACCATACAACTGAGACTGACCTTCAGAAAGAGCTCCAAGTGTCAGCGACCCAGGTATTACCTTCAGCAGCCTTACAGTGAATATCTAATAGCAAGGCATTGTTTAGATCAAAGAAGGAAAGGCTAATAGCAACCTGAGCGCAACAATAGGAGAGAGCGCCAGCATTCAGAGCAGGTCTAGCTTATAATTTATAACCCTCCAAAGTCCTGTTCTCATGCTACAAAAAACTTGCTGTTCATAACACGCTGCTGGTTTAGAAAGGCAGAGGAAAGGATGCATTTGGGTGATTGAGTCCAGTTTTATAAAAAGGTCTATATAAAGTTGAGTCATTCCCCAACCTCTCAATGAGATGCTGATCCAGTGTGAAAGCTGCTCCTCAGCTTTTCAAATCTTCTGTAATGCAACATCAATAAAACTATCTTGATTTGTTTCCAGTGTGATGATGAGCCTGTAAGATGAATCTGGAACCGCCCTATTCTGGATGGGGAGGCTACCATATCTAGTGGGTAAATGCAACACACACTGAGGAACAAACAGGAAACAGTATGAGGAAGTAAAGAAGCCAGGAAAAAAAAAAAGACAATTGTATTTTTCATTACTCAACACAAGTTCAAGTAACCAGGTTTCCTTTTAGAATAAGAATGCTATTAATTCAGTGCAAGAAAAGGAAAATATATACCTGAAGCAAATGGAGAAGTATTGAAAGATATAAAACTTTCTTTCCATTTATAGCTAAAAATTTTTAAATTATACCCATTCTAGAAAAACTTGCATATCTGCAATAGGGCAACTGTAAGACTTAGAGCTTTTGAGACTCATTCTTCAAGACTGAGAACACAGCTACAGCTGTATGACAAATAAGACAGGTTTTAGCTATGTCTGGAAGTTGCAGTACTTAGCTACAGCAAGATCTACTGTGAAAGGATTTACTCCATTTTGCACACGTTTAATCAGAGGAAGGAAAAACCTCAGGATTTGCATGAAATCCTGCAAACACACAACCAACTTTTTAAGTTCGAGTTATGCAAACAGCTGCCCAGCTATTACTCTCTCTCCCATTTACTGAGACGTCTGTAGCCATTTTCTCCTCAATGTTTGCACACACAGTTTTGTTCCCTTTTTATCGATTCAGTTAAAAGGGAATTGTGGTTTTAAAAAGAAAGAAGCATTACTTTAAGGTTGTGAGGTTCTGCTTTTTAAGATAAAGTTTGGTGAGTTTATGAAAGTTATTACATGACATGGTCCCAACAGCAGGAGTAGGCTGGACTGAAAAAAACAGAAATCCTTCTACTTCTGTTTCTTTAAGTGAAACAAAATATCCACCTGACAATAAGGATTTATAGGTACCTTTGGAGCAATTTATTTTGCCTCAAGGTTAAAAAAGCACATTGCATTTGGCTCACCCACTGTTTTCCTAAGCACACTGTACTGCAGCATCAGCATCAGATTTAGATCTGTTGCAGAAACTCTTCCCCATGAAAACTAGTTAATACCATTGCCATACAAAAGTAAGGGCCTATAACTCAACATTAGACAGTGTGTTTTACTTCACTATGAAGCCAGTGGAACAAGACTACTATGGCTATCAAATGCTGATGTATGTTTCTGCCATTTCCTTTTCTACAATGCAATCTTATAACTAAATACTATGTTTTTAGCAACCTTAACTTATAGACTGATGTACGTCATGAAAAACTGCTCCAGTGGTGAATGTAATGGTTGACTTGGTCACTCATTATTGCTAGACCCAAATTCCACTCCATGGTGGAGGGAAAAAAGGCAGTCTCAGGAAGTAGACCAAAACACACAACCTCCCTGAAGTCCTGGGTAGAACCATCAAAAATTACCTGTCATTAGAACAACCCTGCAGAACTACCTATGCCAGTTTTAGAGTTATCATCTGTGTTCAAAACTGTGGAAACAGATGTTTTCCTAAAGAGAGACACTTGGGATGATAAACTAGTATGAATAAATACAGTCGGCTTTAATTTTCATATTACTGCAGTACTTGCCAGAAGAGAAAAAAAGGATTTGCCTTAGACAAAAACCCAAACCCAGGCCTGATCAATAGAAATGTATCTCCAAAAGATTAATTCCTATACATAGTCCTGGAAAGCCTGCCAGGAATGAGCATTGAGGTACAATTCCTTTTGCTTTGCTTAATTCTGTTTTGACTCTTGGCAATACAAGGCCGAGCAGTTCAGCAGTGAATTTCTGGCAAGATAATAATGATGACTTCTGTGCCAGACCCACAAGCAGTAAACAGCATGCTGCTCACCAACTATTCCAGTTTCCACATTTAACCATGCAAAATGGCAGCAGTGTAATGAGCTCAGGCTTGCACTTTAAAAGCAGAAAAACCTCTGAATCTCATTCAAAGCAAGGGTCAAAAGATCTAGAAGCACCAGCACCGCACTATGAACTTAACCAGTTATGAAGCAGTCATGGACAATCTGTGTGGTCAGCAAAGCACACATGGCAGGCTAAGGGACTGGAAATGCCAGAGCCATAGTTCAGCAGAGAAGAGAGGATACATTGTACAACCTACCCAAAGCCCATCACATTTGGCACATGCTGAATATTGCAGCAAACTTTATACTTGTACTGCCCTGCCTTTTCAGATTTATACTGCAAGATGTGTATCCAAAAGCACCAGATTCTTAGCTCCTGGGAAGCAGACCTTTGGAGAAGCAAAGATGGAACTCCAGAGCCAAAGTTCAGAACACTGGATGTGCTTCTATGAGAAAGGTACAGTGAACAGAAGGTAAAGATAAACTGCCAT